TGTCGGCTGGTATGGACAAGACTGCTATTGTTTGGGACGGGGCCAAGGGCCAGAAGTTAGGAACGTTGAAGGGTAGGTTTGTGCATGCGTGCTAGAGGAGTAGCAGTATCATTGTAGGTCATACTGGGCCTATCACATGTGGGACTTGGCAGCCTTTCCATCTACTGAGTGATGGACAGTTAGTGCCCAATATCGCTACTGGGTCAAAGGACATGAGCATAAGGGTTTGGGATGGTAGTAACAGTAGTAGCACGAGGGAGTGTGGTAGGATTGTGTTTAGGTGCGAACTACACTGTAAAGTATGTCCTTACGTCTCACACAGCACCGGTGACGTGTTTACGGTGGACAGGAGAAGACTATATAATATCTGGCAGTCGTGACCGCATGTTGAAGGTAGTGGAATTGATCGTGATGAGCAGTGTTGGAAAATATGCACATGGTCAACCACATGGGTTGGTGACAATGTGGAAATTCTGAGGAAATTTTGGGATAGTCCTGTTGGTTCTTGTACACCTCCATGCGAATTCTTTCGTCAACCCTTTTTGTTGAGGAAACTCCTGAGCTTGTGAACATTTTTTGTCAACACTGATTGTGAATAGTGGTTATGATTATGTTTGCCAGGCTTGGTCGACGAAGGACGGTCGCATGTTAAGGGAGTTCAAAGGTCATGCTCATTGGGTCAACACAGTGTGTTGCAATACGGTACGTGGGTGAGGGTCTATGAGCTTTCAACTGCGCATCAGGACTATGTCACGTTGAAGACTGGTTGCTTTGGTGAGAAGGACCAACCGGCTACGGCTGAGACAACTGTGCCTGAGCTCAAGGAGAGGGCCTTGCAAAGGTGCTGTTGACATGTCAGAGCTTGATATTAATAATCTTAATATAATATATATAGTACTATAGTACGATGGAGCTCAACCCGTTTTACGTGCAGTGACGTAATACTCTGTGAAAAAAAGCGATATTCGCGGTGGTATGCAGTAGTCTCGAAATATGTTTTTCACTGGGGTTTTTCATATCACTAGGGTGAACCTCCAATATATATGTTAAGGAATATATGAATCTATTTTGAAATGATGGTACATTATACGTATATGTTAATACAAGATGAATTTGTAAAAATAATATATGTTTGTTACAGTATTAACATTATTAGTATATACTCTGTGAAGGTATAACAAGATGATTAAGCAAACAGGAGGTGTGGGTGAGAGGATCCTATCGGGTAGTGATGATTTCACAATGTTTCTCTGGAGCATGGACAGTAAGTGTTGGTGTCGATTTTCGTCACGCGCCACGAAATTGGTCACCATGTTCAGGCAAGAAACCCTTATGTCGTTTGACGGGCCATCAGAAGGTGGTGAATAATGTCCAGTTCAGCCCCGATGGCCGTATGATCGCCAGCGCTAGTTTCGACAAGTCCGTGCGCCTATGGGATGGCGTAACAGGAAAGTAGTACTCTAAGCTCTGCCACCCTGGCATTGGCACTTCCAACTGTAGGTTCATCTGTGCTCTACGTGGTCATGTTGCTGATGTTTATATGGTGTCATGGTCAGCCGATAGTCGTATGCTTGTTTCTGGCTCTAAGGATTCCACTGTGAAGGTGAGGGGGGTCAATGGGGGGGGGAATATGCTCATGGTCAACTACACGTGTGATCGAGAATATGAAAATTTTGGGGAATTCTTGTGGGTTTCTGTACACTCCTGTTCTAATATTAGCTTCGGAAACTCGTTTGCTCAGCTGAGGAAAGCGAGGATATATTCCTCCAACACTATGGGGGACTGAGCGTATCGTATGACCAGCACGATGCTGTTGTGGTCAGGTCTGGGATGCTGGCAAGAGGAAGCTGAAGGAGGACCTGCCCGGTCACGCTGATGAGGTCTTCGCGGTGGATTGGAGTGGAGATGGTGCCCGAGTGGTCAGCGCTGGTCGCGATAAGGTTGTTAAAATATGGAAGCACTGAGGATATACGTTACTGTTCCTGTTATCCGTATTTACCATAACGTATGTTACGTCGTGGAAGAGGTGCCGAGTTTTTTAATTTGTGATTGGAGTGGTATGGAAATTGGCACGCGTACACACGTGCGCATCAGTGACTGTTCCGTCCCTTTGCTCGGCTGTTGGTGCTGATAAAGGCCCAATCGATAGTGGTTTTAGGGCTTGTCGAACGCAGTGTTCGAGCTAGAGATCACAACACCTATTACTTTGCTATACGGAGAGTTTTGTGGCGCGCGGTCATTCATATGCGTCTAGGCATATTTCAGCTCTGTTCGCCTATGCTGACCAGACTCTTCGATCGCGGCCTGCTCAGGATTGGAGGGAAGCTCCTCAGTGCTCAACCTAGTTCAGGTGCGTAGAGCTCTACAATGGTCGTAGTTGACATGGTTCAACTTAGGCCCGCTTCAACGCTGTTGTGGGTAGCCCCCCTGGTGGACAGGAAAAAGGTAAGAAGACTAGGCGTAAGAAGCAGCATCGTGTGATGAAGGAAGGACCACATAGTGAGGTCATTGAAGGCAATGAGGAACTGTGATGAACCATAAGCAGATACTGGCATCCATCAGCTGTGTGCCCTCTCTCCTGAATTGACCACCATCGTTGGGGTACTTAAGGCGAGCCGTGTTGATGTCAATAAGAAACTGTGAGTTTGTATACGGCTGTTGAAGGGCCACTGTTTGGTAGATGGGTATATATCAAATCCCACAATCTGCAAGAAACGACGGACAAGAGGAATATTAAGCCTGATGCCGTTCTAGGCAAGAAGTCTACTTTAGTTGCTCGAATAGAACCTATTGGTTAGGGCGTATTATTCCGGTGCCAGTGGTGAACATGTGCACTATGCAAAAGTATGTACAGAAACACGTTACGAAGATCGAGGCGGAGCCGGCGTGATAAACCAGGGTGGTGCGGTGACCTCTCTACTAGATAGATTTATTTCATCATGCATTACTGCAGTCTCGCAAGGTGTCCTTGGGTTCAGAGTAGGGCTTTGAGAATCTTGCGTCGGCGGTAGCGCGCGCCCTGGTAATCGATTATGGATTTTCGTCGAAGCATATTTATAAAAGGCTTAGAACAGTAGACGTGTGACGAAGCCGCTTGTACATATTGAAGGAAAGCGGTAGTATCCCATAGCGTTGGAGTCGAAGAAGTTTAAGAAGGAGAAATGTGGATCAGTTTCTACACCCCATTTACAATATGTCCAGCAATAAGAGTTTATCATCAGTGGATGAGA